GGGAGGGGAGGGGAAGGCTGAGTAAAATTACCAGGGCAGAAGAAAATTGGGAATGTGAGTAGTTTTTATTCATTCGCTGCCTACTTCAACTCTAAACATATGGTTTGGCATTTGAGAAATGGTGAATTTGCACTAGTGAGAGACGGTTTATCACCACTTTCACGACAGATGGATAAATGAGTATATTTTTAACTGTGTTTAAAATAGGAATTCTCCCCTCTATGCCAGATGTTATCTTAAAATTACCAGGTGGGACTCTCATAAAACCCCCACATTATCACCCCCTTACGTTTTTTCTCAGAATAAGTTTCTGAAAATGAAATGCAGACTCGTATTTGCTTTATAGTGAATTTTCCTAATGCAATGCAATTTAAAAGCATGCACAGGTGGTGGTTTACGAAGTAATATAATTACACTTTTAAGGTCAAATTACTTTAGATAATTACGCCGATCTCGATTTAAGTAGTTCTTTAAGAAAATGGAAAAAATCGATAACTACATTTGGAAAAGCCCGTTACATTTGTCTTGGGTAGAGGAAGGATTGTATGATCCTTCATGATAAGAAACTCGAATACCGGCCATAACTCTTCTCTTCAAGCCACACCTAACCAGTACGACTGACCCTTCCAATCAATGTGTAAGATCCCATAACTAACATCAATCACTGAGCACAGTAGCAAGCAGCATCTTTGTGAATCAAGTTATTTCCTTTTCTTAAAACTATAATTTGTGGAATTATTAAATAGCCAATCAATTTTAAGAAAAAAAGAGTGCAGTAAAATTGAAACGCTAAAAATTTATTTATCATTACAGACTCTGATACCTTCAAAATCCCCCCATTGGAAATAGTTCAAATGTCTACCAAAAAATAACCTTTATAAACCATGTCACCATTTTCTTCAAAGTGAATGCTTCACTTGTTTATTACAGACCCATTTGGGTTATGGTCTTCTGTCTTGACCCACATGCGTAACTCTGTAGTGATTTTAGGTGTAGCGAACAGGATCTAATCCTGAAACAGACGGAACGAGAAGCTGATATCCTTTGGAGTATAACGGCAAGAGCTATTATATTACAGATATTAGGAAAATACAACAATTAAAATAATTATTGCAATAGTTAGTAGGCATGATTTGACAGAGTTTTTAAAAAACTCACTTGGTGGCTGACTTCATATGAAGTTGAAAAGTTGAGGCTAGTAAAATTCCACCAAATTTGGTGAACAATACATAATAAAAGGAAAATTACCAGTGTTGTTTGTATGTTAAATACTTTGACATGTTACCCTGAACCATAAAAAGGCATTAACTAATAACCTAGGCAGTAATAAATGTTTTATTTACAATAAATTCAATTTGTTTTAATACTTATTAAGTATTGCAAATATGGCTAGTAGAATAATTATTAATAATAAAAATGTTTTGATGGAAAGAGCTAAAAAATAAGGTTAAAAGTGAGTGTTAGTATTTTTCAAAACAAGTTATTTCAAATATTTGATAAAGCCGAAAGAAAGATTTCTTGATCAAATGAGCCAATCGGCTTCAAGAAGCAATCGCATTTCCACCTCCCTTTCGTCAATGGGATTGGTCAGCGCCTTTTGCCTGATGTCCTCCCCCTCGTATTAGCGAGCCAATGAGAGAGTAGAAGTAGCTTCTAATTATCCAGTCAACAAGCAATTGTCGCCCTTTCGAAGAGGTAGGGGGGTTGGGTTCTGATTGCTGTCTTTAAGACTAAGAGAATTCTAGTTAGGGAAGGGGGGAATATGATGGTTAAACGGGAAGATTCTCCGCCCTGACATCAGTATTCATAAACTCATTCCAAACGCTAAAGGTAGACAGTACCTTTCATCTTTATCGTTCTTCTGTCTCAAACGGGTGTATCTCCCAACCTCGTCTCTCTCTCTCACTTCTCATAGTACAGTGTGTTTGTGTCGCCACCGCCTAAGGAAGAAGTGGCAATCAAAGAGAGGAATTGTCTTTACCCTCTTTTCCTCTTCCTATTCTGCGTGTCACATAAAGAACTTTGTACACATACAAAGGCACCAAAGGACTGCTATCGTTTCCCCCTTTTATTGACCTCAAAGTACTTGTCAGTGTTGCTTTGGCTTGAAGAGGGAAAAGAGAAAAAGTGAAAAATACAACAGGGATAACCTTTCTCCCTGTCCTTGCTTTCGAAATGGCAAATGCTGGAAGGAACAATTGTCCCAGCTCGGCTACCCCTACTGCACCTTGTTCAAGCAGTCAACAACAAGATTATCGGGCTCAGATTCAGAACTATCAATTACAAGCCATTCAAAACCGTCAACCTCCGAATTTAACTAATGGTGAGTGCTATAATTTGCCTTATTAGTTTGATCTACGATTAATATGGGCTGATGTTCTTTCAGGTGGTAGTGCGCTTACTGAGTAATAGGCGTATCAGGAAATATGTATTTACATATCCTCATTTCGTTATGGAAGAATTTGCCATAACTAATCACTTATCTAAATTCATTTCAAACTTTATTTATTGAATTCCACTATACTCACCATAAATTCATCTACGTTGGCAAAAGTGACCTTGTCAATATTTAACGCGTATGTGTATATTTTTTCATGTACCTCGTTTGAATGAGTTCAATACATGTTAGGTGTGGCATAGCATGTTTTCTTGCAGTAAGCAAACTTTGATCGGTAAGGTATAATTGAAGTATTCTTATGCATACCAATAGTTTCTTACTCAAATCCATTGAGTTGCCTTCATGCAAGCACATTGAAATCGCGTTGCACCCGTTAAGGATATCACCTGAAGCCGAAATTGAAATTGTTAGGCAAACAAAATACAAAGTTTGGCACAATGTGGGCATTGCACTATTATTTTTGGTCGGATAATTCAACTTGATATTTTAAGCTACTCCTAATTTAAAACGCTCCAATATTTAAGCACCTCCTTAGCGGCGTAGAAGTAAAATAATGCTATGCCGTAAAAAAATTATTTTTTTTTAAATTCAGACATAAAATGCATAATATTGAGCTTTAAATAAGACTTCCGTTCATCATAAATGATTTTTCGTAAAACAAGGATGGAACTTAATAATGCTGAATTTACTTACCCAGCATCTGGATTCCAACCTACTTCCTGGTCATTTCCGACAAACCAAACAATCTACCAACTTGAAGATTCAAATAATCCCTCTAGAGAGGATAGATCACGTTCTGCTTCATCTAGTTACTATGATGAGACTGCCAGATCATTCTCGGCAGCGGCTGCTGTGGCCGCGGTAGCAGCAGCGGCCTACATCAGCTCCTCTAGCGCTGTCGTGACGTCTGGGTACTTCGGCGATCCGAAATCGATTAAATGCAAGCCGCCTCAAACAGATACCACCACGAAAACTACTGGCAATTGCAGCATGCAACAAGGGAGTAGCAGGTATGTCTTGACAACTTACAGGCATAACATTCCAGCTCTCAGAGTGTTTTTTAATGTCTAGAATCATTTAATTGTTGTTATCATTTCTCAAATTTATCAAAATCTGTCTTGTCAATACGTCAAGTCATTTCTTGTATATGTACTCACACTCCTCACCTCCCTCCCAACCCTCCCAAACCCAAACTTAATTTGTCGTAAATTGACAATGCTGCTTTGCGACAATAAGCTCTGATTGAAAAGTGTTATAATTTTGTCAGACAGACAAAGAATGGAAAACGAAAATGTATAATTAAAAGTAGCTACTTGGTGCATTGGTTCCTCTTTGCGATATTATGGGAGTTTGAAGTTGATGGACATTTGATTTAACGGTTAGTAGACTTCTCTCACTCCTAAGCACCAGTTTTTTAATGACAATATGACATTTCCTCACCTTGAGTCTAACTTGATAACGATGAGTGAATAGATTTAAAGAGAACACACAAGGCATTTCAAGTTCAGTCAATATCTGGTGGATTTTTACCCACAATTCTCCTCTTCTAACAGGTAAAATGGAAGAATTAAAAGCAAACAGGTGAACCAAGAGCAGAAATGAGGCAGTTAACACTCCTTACACAATGAAGTATGCATATCAAGGAAATGAAGATTTACTATCTTCCAAAGGTCTTTAAATAGAAATGCCCTTATTTTTAAAATTTCTGTGACATTCCTTGCTTCTTTCAATCGGCAAATTCAATTTTTTCCTTAAAATGTTCAGATACTAATGGAAGAAGTTTTCTAAACGCCTAAGCACGGTGTTGGATATTTGATTTTTACATTAATGAACTCAATTACTTAAATGTACACTTCTGTTTGAGGTAATTTCGTCTTTTCAACTCTTGAAAAGAAAATTAAATTGAAGTGGTAGTTCCAACCACCTTCATTGGAAAAAAACCCGACCGCAATATACTTGGCTACTTTGGGTAGCAATTGATACATAAAAATTAAATTATGAAATGTTGTATAGCCCGCAAGACTATTTGTACCTTGACGTTACGCTCCCTTTTGATCAATTGTTGAACCCTCGTCTAAACGACTTCTATTCTTTCCCGCAAGAAAACGTTGTATTTTGTAACGATAAGACCCAATAGGACTTTCTTGAGGTTAAAATAATGACTTCTATCTCCCTTTAATGATTTTTTGGTATTCAAATATTCATGATCCTTTTAAAAGGCTCAAAAACGCCAAGATCCATGTTCACGTTGATGCAAAAATGGCCAGGAATTAGCACACAAATCTCAGGATACAACCATTTTTAGAAAACTGTAAATGAACGCATGAGTATAACTCGTGTCACGTGTCATCTTCTCATGTCAACCTTTATAAAAGATGAATTACTTGAAAATTTGCTTTAAAGACAATTTTGCTAATTAATAATAAAAATGACTGCTTAATAAAAATTTAATTTTGAAAATACTGTTAGAAAGAAATACTATTTACTATATCATATCTTTCCAATAGAAATTTAAACATTTTGTAATTTGGGCTTATTCGTATTTTCGGGGGAAATCCCCAACACAAACACGTGTAACAGCCAATATTTCTTTCGCAATCCTTTTGTTTTTTTTGGCTGATGGATTAAATATACCCCAACTAGGAAGAGAAAGAACAAGTTAAATTATTGAATAAATAAAGATAAATAAGGAGACCAAATCATCTATTTAAACCAAAAACAACTGAATCAATATCTTACGGCTTGGAGCAGTCATAAACATCTAGTATAATCAATTGATAAATTTTGACATGCCACAAGAGTAGGTGAAATGTGTGATGTTCTTGCCAGTTCGTGAAATTCATAGAGCAATGACGTACGAGTCGTTAATTGGTCTACGTTGAAATCGGATCCGCAAAGTGACAACATATGCTTTAATACTACCGCTTAGGCGTATGCACAATTACGAAGAGAATTTGAAGCACACCTTATTATTTTTATTATTCTTATCTCTTCGGAGAGTTCTCATTTCCGCCTTCACTCACCATATCCATGTCGTTCAGCTCCTATGAGTCCAGCTTCGGAACTCAGAATACTGATCCTGGCACCTGTCTTCCAAAAACGATGGGTTACACTTCATCTTCCACTCTGATTTCAACTCCTGATGCTCATTCGAAATCTGCGCATTCTTTCACGGATATCCAACAAGCTTCTGGAAATATTTTAAGTCAAAATTCTTCAAAACTCCCATCGTTTGCCAACGGTTCAGAGACCAATGGATTCTCTGAACCCTACTTGCCCCAAAGTATTTCAAATACTCAAAATTCAAACCTCTCTGATCCTGTTACCTCAACTCCAGTTCCACCGCGGAAGAGATCTGAGAAGCCTCCAGCTCACGTTAAGAAACCACTTAATGCTTTCATGCTTTTCATGAAGGAAATGCGGGCAAAAGTCGTTGCAGAATGTACAATGAAGGAATCGGCGGCAATAAACCAAATTCTGGGTCGAAAATGGCATGCTCTACCTCATGAAGAGCAAGCAAAGTTCTATGAAATGGCTAGAAAGGAGAAAGAACTTCATCAGAGACTGTATCCTGGTTGGTCAGCTAGGGACAACTACGCGTATCATGCGAAGCGACGTAAGAATCGATGCCGATATCGAGTATACAACAGTAATCAAGATCGACCTAGAGATAGGTCTCCACCGAACAACAATCAAGATTCTATTTCGATGGATAAGGCAAATGTGAATCGTCGGGGGCCAGCAGCTAATAACATGAGTGGAATGTTTAAATATCCTCCATTATACAAATACCCTTTCCCAATTGGAAATATGACATCTGGTGACCACTGCTGCTCTTCTACTGATGATCTTATGCCCTATTTTGGTTTTATCGATCGAAATCAGCAACAACTTCTTCATGATCAGCAACTGCAGGTAGAACAACAACATGGTCAAACATTTGGTCTCAATACCCAACAGACTGATTTAGGATCAGGTAAGCATTTGTTGACCTCAAGTTATCGTGCATTTTATTTTCAAAAGTTCAAATCTCAATTCAATTTCAAGGTATAAAAGAGGATTGTAAACCACGATTACCTGGTCAATTTCCCGAAACCGTAGAAACGATTCCTTCAGTTCAGCATTTCAATCCTTCAAACAATTGGCTTCTTGGAAATAATCATCAACCCCAATTACCTTATGATCTCATTTCTTCAGCATCAACATCTCCCTGGTCCCAATCCCATCAACAAATTGAAGATCGTTTCCAGCGACAGATCCCACAACCGAATTGCATCGGAATATCCAATCAATATTCAACACCCCCTTATAATCCGAATGGTAGTTTTGATTTCCATTACAATTATATGAATCCCAACTACCTTGCAACACAGAAAACCTCGCCGGTAATCATTGATCCTTATTCTTCACTTAAAACTTCAAATTTTCATCAGGATCTTTCTTCTAGACCCTCCCTTTTCTCGAATGAATACGATGACACCGAAAACTCCACAACTGCTCCTCTCTATGGATCTTCTTCCACTTGATAACTATGTATTCAAAGCATACCCCTCTTTTCATGTCATTTCTATATTTTCACACACGCAAATATATGTCTTTTAAAGTGCACAGACGGGTTCTTTCCTATTTCCAAGGTTTCGGTTAAAAGTCAATTGGATGGCAAATCCAAAGACCTAAAAATCTTCTTACAAGTCCTACCTAATCAAATTAAAATTTTAAAAGGCTGTACAATTTACAAATATGCATGTTGCAAATTGTGTAACAACAGACTAAAAACAGATTGCAATAGGAATCGACAGCAAATTTCGCATAATATAAGATTTTATTATTCAATTAAATCATATTAACTAATTGCCTGTCAGACTGCTCTAATTAAATAATTCTCATCAACAGACTTCATTGATTATACTTAGTCTTAGTGGTAATAAAATTTATTAAAAAATAAAATAAAATTTTATTTTAATGAATAGTGAAATTGAAACAGGGTTGTTTAAATATGCTTTCTGGCAAATCAAATTGTATGTATGAATTTTTAAATTAAATATATTATGCATTGTAAAATACAAGATGTTGATCTTAATTCTTGAGCTACTCTGAAATTTTGGATATAAATTTGAGACTGGGGATATCAATCAATCATACATTCATTACCACCATTTACAATCATAAATATCGCCCTTATTGATGCTTGGCTTGTATTCAAATATCCTCAGAAATCGTGTGCTATAATTAACGTCCGATACCCTCAACGTGAAATATAAAAACGACCATAAATTTAACTCAAGACCCATCACTTTACTACTACAGGATTAATAAAAACTTTTAAAAAATTACTCTCGTGATACAGCGAAATACAAGGACTCTGTGTGTACAGTGTTAAAAAAGTGGTGCTATAATTTGAGTATTTTGCATTGTGAACACCTAAAATTTAAATAGAACACACCTTAACTAAGTCACATATTAGTATATTTTTCATTAGAAAAATAGGACATCTTTGAAAATCGCGAAAAGTTATTCACAACCAGGCTGCTCCAAAAGAGATTTTATAAAGTCCAAAATGGAAATGGGAGTATTGTAATAACTTTAACAATGCACAGAATAGAATATTTGAGGAGGATTATAAGGGAACATACTTTTAAATGCTGAGATTGTAAAGCATGTATGTGAATATGTTGGAGCATATTTGCACCTTAACTAATTAACCGACACGAAAAGGTATTTATTAATCCTGAATCTCAAAATTTCTCAAACATCAAAGTAGAGATTTCGATTAATGTTTATTTATTTATTTATTTCAAATGGCTGGCATTTTGATAG